TCACTGCTATTGGTAAAGTATTGACTTGATTTCTCTGCTCACATCCAGGGCACTGCATGGTCCTGCCCTGCTCTCCCCAGATCCCTTGCCAGGCGCTCCCTCACAGACCTCTCCATCTTCCATGAGTATGAGCTTACAGAGCCATTCATCTCCTGGTGGTTATGTTCACTGATCACTGACAACCCCTCTGCATCTCATACACACCGGGCTGCTTCCCTACTAAAATCCTCCAAAGCCATGTGTTACACATCCCTTTTCTCTGCCATGCTCCCAGCTGTTCTCTGCTGTTTTGATCTGTTTGCATAGCGCTGTCAGACTATATGCATGAAAGGTGTGTTGTTGACATGAATGGTTTCAAAAATGTTTCTGTAAAGAACCTACCTAGGTCGTAAGGGGAGAAGGAAGCTTGAATCCCCAAAGGAGGAGGTCAGGGACCCCTTTATGAACCTTCACTGGAAGGAGACCTGTGCTCATTGGCGAAGGAAAGAAGCCCATTTAAATATGATGATGATCTTTACCAATATTAAAAGATATAGGAGGCTTTACTCAAAAAGGAAATAAGAAGTAGTAAAGACATATTAAAGAGGTGGGGTCCTACCACAGAATGAAAGACTTAAAGGGGCATGTTAACAAGGACATTCTTATTGGTCACCAAGTGTCCATCAGCAAGAGGCTCAACCAGGAACTGGCCTGTGGGAGAAGGGCATTTGGCCATTCTGCTCACAGCTATCTGGAGAACCATATGGAATCCATGAACTTTCACAATGGCCCATCAGATTGGCCTGATGTTGGGGACTTAAATAAAGGATAATTTAGGTATTTTTCCTTTACTTAACCAGATAAGAAAACTCAAGGCCCGAAGCCACCTAGCTAGACAGTGGTGGCAGACTGGAGGGGACTAGGAAAGGAAAGATAAACCAAGAAGATAAGAGCACTTGTGTGATAGGAAAGAACTTGGAAAATTCATTCGTAACAACACATTTTTTTATAGTGACTATCTACCCTTTTTCAACCACTTCTTCAAAGGATGAATTTGGTATTTCAGATTGGAAAAGCAGTGTTGCTTCTGGTTGTTTCTCTGACCTTTTCCCACCACGTTTGCTATATTTGACTGTAGACATAAAGACAGGCCTTGGGAACTTGCACGGCCTTTGCTGTTTCAAGGCTAGCTCGGGCCAAGATATCTGGGGAAGATGCCCTGTGTTCAGATTTTTTATCTTTTGTCCTTCAACAAAGATTGGCCCCAACTTTGCACACACTCCTTATGTTATCCAAATACCTTTGCCAATTTTTTACATGCTATCTTTGGCCTGGGTTCTCCTTGAAAGTTAACTGAAAAAATATGCTGTCTTGTTTGTTTAATATCTGAAGAAAAACTGTACAACTCAGGTTGGCTTTATCACCGCAAGCATTTTTGGAGGACTTGGGCCTTTTGGGATCCCCTCCCTACCTCCTACCCCTGTTTGAAGCAAGATTTGCAATTGTTTCCATACACAGATTTATTTTGGATTCTTTTTTACTTAACTAATCAAAACATCATTTCATGGGCATTATTTGATGTGTTGGTACCCAAGCGAAACTTTTATATTATATTAACATTTTCCCCTTAGGGAAAAGAAATTACATTTTTCTCCCCAAAATAAATACTCGGTAGGCAAGCAACTGAGACCCTGCACTCTTAAATCCTTTGTAACCCTGGCTTTCTTTAATAAAGCCACTTAGCCAGGTCCACAAAAAAATTTGTTTTTTCCAAACCTCTTCTTACCCCTTCTCAATATTCAAGTTCTGGAGTTTAGAGTTTTGTCTACTCTGTGCTTTCCTTCTGCAAAGAAATCTCAAATTCTTGTGCTTTCTACTCCAAATAGCTGTAGGACACCGTTTAAATCCTATCAGATTCTTTTTACAGCTGAAATAGGAACCCTGAGGTCATTTCTAGGCTACCCCTGCTGCATAATATGTGAGAATGCCCTCATCACACATTCCCCTCCCAATTATTTTTAAACTCAACTCTTCAAAGTAAAATAATGTAACAGAGCCATTGAAGTGGAAATGCTAGAACCTGCCTTTTTCTTTTTATCTTCCACAGGAATGGCATTTTTAAACACGAGCTTGTGTCAGACACTGAACAGTCTCCACACAGGAATGAATGTTTTGGTTAAAAGTTATTTAATATCTCTAGTTCCTTGGAATTCTGCCGAAAGTAGGAGATATTCTTAGCTACAGGTCCTGTGCCTTCCTTGACTAGAGAGAAAAGTGGCTCAAAATCTAGAGGGAACATATAGCGTTCTCAAAATAGTTACTTGATTGTATAGGTGTTTATATTGCAGAGGATGCTGCTGTATGAAGAATTAGGAATTAGAAAAGAATGTAGAATTAGAAAAGAATAAGGAAGAATGTGTCAAAACAGTATCTTTCTGCAGCTCTATCACTACATTGATTCCCAGCCTTTTGGTTAAAATCAGGGTTATGGGACTACATTATTATGGCAGGCCTAAAGATAGGATTCTCCGTAATTTGTATAGAACGTTTTAACTTGCATTCATATTTAGATAAACAACGGTTAAAAACCAAAGACATTGAAGCAAGTTAGTAGGTAAAATATGATCTTATTTCTTAACTGCTTTGAGTGTAAAATAATGGAGATACATTCTCATAGTCCCTAACTGCAATTAGAAAAAAATAAAGAAAAAAAGAATTTCTTTATTCCAAGGATATAAGAAGAATTTTGACTCAATAAGTTATTTTAGCTTCAAAGATGTTATTGCTCTCAGTACAATCCCTTCTCTTTAACTATCATCCTTTTGAAGCAAAATATTTACAGAACATTGAATTATTTTTCTAGCTTTCCAACAGCATTTTATGCGTTGAGATATTGCTGCGACACAGTTAGAAGTCAGGCCCTCCGGACTTGTATTGGGTGACAGCGTTATGCACTATCGTCAAGAGATTCCATTGTTTCCAACCCCCAAGGTTCTGTCTGTACTTGTTTACAGGTCAACGGAATAGTAACTCGTGTGTGCTCAGTGGCGTGAGTGTTATCACTGTAACCTTGGCAACGGAGCCAGCTCTAATTTCAAAACCTCTCATGCTGTATCATAAAATTAGATAACAGAATTGACATTTAGCTACATGTCTGTCATATAAATTAAGCTCTGAGAATATTTCCTTTATAGCCATGAGCTTCAATATGGAAATAGACACCAATTAGAACAATTTTATGCATATACATACTATTCCACATTTAGGTGCTGGGTACATTTCCTCAATTCTTTCTCTATAATATTGAACCTCACATATTGCCATGTTAATCTCACTGTGCCAAAATTCACGGTGGCTTTGTTTTGTGATCTGGATGAAGCTTATAGCAGAGCTGTATCAGATATCCTATATAAATAGGATTATGAATAATAGAAAACTCAGCTCCTAAAAAATGTAAAATTCAAAGTATTCTTGGCTTTCCTGGGTACCGTTATTTATGCTGATTAGAAGTAAGGCTGTGCACAGAATATTCCACTAACTAAATCAGAATCCCGATGACAAGACAGGCTTCCCTTTCATTTATATATTTATGCATATTTTTACACATATTATATTTTCCAGTATCTATGAATCTCTGATAATATCTTTATTTCAAGGACATTCTAAACATGCAGATTAATACATTCATCTGCTTTGAGTCCTAGGTCCTCTTTTACAATTTGTAAATATTTTAATCTCAGGATTTTCTTCTCTACTTGCTGTGGTCTGGTGCAGTTTTTCTGGAGTATAAATTTAAAGACTCAACTTGTGAATTACATTTAATGTAAGCACCCTGCAGTTTTCTGCATTGCAAATGATTATTTTTAGAAATTTTATGGTTGCCTGGATATATTTGTTTGTCTTCATTGATATGTAGGGGTGAAAGCTCATTAATGATTTAAAAAGAAGGTGTTTTGATTCATCGACTTGATTCTTCTCATTACATAAACAATAAAGGCAATAAATTAACATCTAATAAAATTGTAAGAGTTTATTTTTGAATTTAGCTGCAAGATAATCTTGAATCTTGGGCATAATTTTTCCTGTTCTTTATATTCTTTTGCCTCAATGTTTTCAAAGGCACCATTCAGCATATTTTAACCTATATGATTGGTTTAACCTCTTATTAAAGACACTTTTTAGCAGCTATCAAACACCATAATTGAACAACCATTTTATGAAATGGTTCTTTGGCTTCTAGAATGGTAAGTTATTATATAAAAATAGAAGATACTTATGTCAAAATTGACCACAAAATACTTTTTCTTTTCCCTGTTTACCTGCTGTGTCATATATAACATTTGAGAAATCTGCTTTCAACATTCTCTTATTACCCATCCATCTAACTATTGCTAGTTTTCTGTTAAATACTACCTTCTTGCCATATACCTAGTAAAGAGTCAAAATTCCTGCAAATTCAGGACATTCTTTTCAGAAACAGATAAGTGGTTGTACACTCTACATGTGTGCTTAAGTGAGAAGAAGGGCAGAAATCCTTCTATGTATTTGTTGGCCCTGTACAGCAAATACCTGTTATGTTTTCAGTAATGTTTAAACTGTTTGCATTATCTCATTGGGTTGAGTCATCGTCACCTTTATGTTTAAACTGGTAAAAGGTAGTTCTAATTATTTTATTTTATCTTGAAACTATTTCTTGTGATAAACAGAAATAGTTCAGCATGTTGTGGCTCCAGTACTGAATCAACTTTGGATAGTCATCTATATTGTAAAAGAACATCATTGGAAACTTCAATACATAGGCGTTCTGCAGTGCAATATGAAAATGAACTCAGGCTGTGTTTGGTGCTGGGATGTGGGGGCTTATCCGGCTGTTTGCATGACTCTGAGATGTATTATATTATCTATTTTTTTTTTATTGTGACATGATATGGCATTAGATGGATGGGGGAGGGGAGGAGCCATAATGACAAAAGGAAAAAAAGTTGTATGGCAATACAGCTTCTTTTGTGATTTCCTTTTAGGTCTGATGTTGTGGTCCTCTGTTTTTCGATCGCTAATCCCAATTCCCTAAATCATGTGAAAACCATGTGGTATCAAGAAATCAAGCACTTTTGCCCTCGCACACCTGTTGTTCTAGTAGGCTGCCAGCTAGATCTCCGCTATGCTGATCTTGAAGCTGTTAATCGAGCCAGACGCCCTTTAGCGAGGTAAGCCAAGGGACTCAGTGTTTTGCTGTGCTAGCCAAATTAAAGTTTAGAGGTAACAGATGTCCCTGTAGCCTAGGGTTATGCTCTTCAGTGGTTCTGGGGCCCCATTAATCAGCCACATGCTTTAAGTTAGTTTGTTAATCCTGACCTTTCTCATGCTCACCATTCCCTCTTAGGTGAGGAACCCATTTTTGGAAAAGGGGTGTCCAGTGCTGGAAGTCAATTTTCTAATTTTGACGTGGTGTGAATAAAAGTGCCTTGAGGATGCCTGGGTGTCTCAGTCAGTTAAGTAACCAACTCCTGGTTTGGGCTCAGGCCATGATCTCATGGTTCATGAGTTCAATCAAGCCCTGAGTTGCACTGTCAGTGTGGAACCTGATTGGGATTCTCTCTCTCCCTCTCTCTCTGCCCCTCCCACTCTCTCAAAATAAATAAATAAACAAACTTTTTAATTTTTTAAAATATTTTTTATATATACTTCTGGGAGAGAGAAAGACCGTGTGAGCAGGGGAGGGGCAGAGAGAGAGGGAGACACAGAATCTGAAGCAGGCTCCAGGCTCTGAGCTAGCTGTCAGCACAGAGCCGGACGCGGGGCTCCAATCCACGAACTGTGAAATCATGACCTGAGCCAAAGTCAGACGCTAAACTGACTAAGCCACCCAGGCACCCCAATAAACTTTTTTTAAAAAGTGCCTTCAGGCACCTGGGTGGCTCAGTTACGTGCCTGATTTCAGCTAAGATCATGATCTTGTGGTTGATGATTTCAAGCCCTGTGTCAGGCTCTGTGCTGACAGCTCAGAGCCTGGAGCCTACTTCTGATTCTGTGTCTCCCTCTCTTTCTGCCCCTCCCCCACTTGTCTTTGCCTCTGTCTCTCTCTCTCAAAAAGTTAATAAACATGAAAAAATTTTTAAATGCCTTGAAATTTGCAAAATACTAAACAAAATATTAGCTACTCATAATAATGTCATTCTTAAAACTATGATTATTATAATAAAGCTAATGAGCATTCAGTGAATAGTCCAGTTCTTGGCCCCCAGAACATCAGGTTCATGCAAATACACATATCCAAGTGTTTTTAACCTTCTCATTTCCCCAATCCAACCTCAGAAAGTTTCATTCTCAAAATGGTGGTGTATAGTTTTAAAAAATCTTATGGACCTATAGTTGCAAAATAGCAACACTAGTGTTTAAATGTCTCTAGTAGTTATGTTTTTAAATTTTTTAATGTTTATTTTCTGAGAGAGAGAGAGAGCATGAGCAAAGGAGGGCAGAGAGAGAGGGAAACACAGAATCTAAAACAGGCTACAGGCTCTGAGCTGTCCGCGCAGAGCCGGATGCAGGGCTTGAACCCGGAAACCACGATATCATGACCTGAGCCGAAGTTACACAGTTAACTCACTGGGACACCCAAGCGCTCCATCTAGTAGTTATGTTTTTAAAAATGTCACAAGTTTAAAAATCAACCTGAAGGGGGATTTGTTTTACTTAGCATAAAATGTGAATACCAGTTTTAGAGGGAAGTAAGAGTTTTCTTAAACCCATGCCCTTTCCATATTCTTATCATAAAAAATAATTTTATTTATATTTTATGTTTAACTTCATTTTGTGCTAGAGAGCATAGCTTCCCCAAATGTGTTGATATTAATACCTTCCTTCAATGTTTGCCTAATAGGCTTGTTGCAAAAATTTTGTGCAGATACAGCTTTTTACACTCTCATAGCAAAAGCAAATAGTACTTTCATTAGACAATTTCTGATGTTCGTGGTGCCTTTCAAATAAATTTCTGAAAATGTCTCATGTTTTTTTTCACAGTCCCTCTATTAAATGCCTGGACTAGGAGTTGAATGTCAGAAGCCTCATAGAGGGAAAGGGGACTCACAGTGAAAGAGAGACTTCCCCTGGCATCCAGAACTTTCTGTAAAAGAGCAGGCTGAGATAATCAGGCCTCACAACCATAGATGGGTGGAGGACTGGAGAGAGTTACAGAGAGCTAGAGGACAGCATAGGGAATAGTCCCTTCTAGAGCGGAGCTCTGAGATTCCATGCAGAAGCTGATATTTGTGCTCAGCCTTGAAGAGTTTCACCAGTCAGTGATTTTCAAGTCAGCCCCAGGAACGAGGAGCACAAAATGCCCTGGGGAGCAAACTTTGAAGTGAAGCCTTCTTCCCTGCACTCACCTCTCTGCCTTTGCAACACCCTGCCTTTTTCCTCATGTTCTGTCTATCCAGGGCTTCAGAGCCAAATTGTAACCAGGATGACCATATTTCTCCTAAAGCCAGTGCCTTTCACACACATTACCTTCAGTTTTGATGGCCAAATATTTATTTAGGAAGATCAATTCCTAAGAGGGTGTCTCAGCATCAAGTGTGTGTTTGTGAAAAATGGAACAACAAAGTTAATTATGTTCTGGAATCCATCTTTTGCTGTGCTATGCCATAGTCATAGCACTCTTCCACCTGTACTGCTTCCAAAGGTTTGGCCTCCCTGAGTTTGATTAGATTGTAAAGGGGCCTTGTGTGCCAACCTGAAGGGTATAGACTTTCTTCCAGTGGCTGTGTGGATCCAGAGGAAGTTTTTTAAAAGACTTAGAACTGAAAGTCATGCTTTTGTGCTGTAAGGATTTTTCATGCAGCAGTGGAAACCATAGGCTGAAAGAGTCTGAAGAAAGACAATGAAGAGGCTAATACTGTAGTCCAAATGAAAGAAGTTGAGGGTATGACTGCAGAGGTGGAAGAGAAGAGAAGCAGTTAGGCTTGAAAGGAGACTCACGGATCTGATGAAAGAAACTTAATTGGCTGTTGGATGGGGTCCATTTAACTAGTCTAGGACTAGGGACTTCTAGACTCTAATGGCTGAGCAGGCATCTCTCAGCAACTTGCTAATGTGACCTGAGGCAAAACCTTTAGAAATTTCTGCCTCAGTTTCTTCTGCAGGTGGAATGAAAATAACACCCCTAGGGTTATTGTGAGGCTCAACATAGAAAAAGTATATGAGTTCATTGTAAAGATATAAAGCGAAACGTAAGCATAACATGGTGGTGAAGATGAAGACGGTCACAGTGGTGATTGTGGTAGCAACTAATATCTGTGGACCAGGTACTGTGCTAAGCATATTATCTCATTTCAAGTTCTCAGTAGTCCTTTAAGATGTAGGTGTTTATTATTACTATTCCTATTTTACAGTTGGGAGAACCGAGGCTTCAGAAGGTAAAGTAACTTGCCCCGGACAAAATAGTGAGCAAATGGCTGATACCTCAGTTATTATAGTTACTACTGAAAGTATTTTCCCCCTGCAGGCCTGGTCTTTTATATTTGGAAAACGTAAGGTTGATCGATTTTTCAAGAACCTTATTAAGAGTCTGTATAGGGACTCTAAAGGCACAGTTCTATCAGGTGCTTTAATAGGCCCTCATTACCATTTTTTTCCCTAAAATAAGGCTGATTATAATTTTTTTAAATACTCCATTTTAGGCCCATAAAGAGAGGGGATATTCTGCCCCCAGAAAAAGGCCGAGAGGTTGCTAAGGAGCTGGGCATACCATACTATGAGACGAGTGTGTTTGACCAGTTCGGAATCAAGGATGTGTTTGACAATGCGATCCGAGCTGCACTGATCTCCCGCCGACACCTGCAGTTCTGGAAGTCTCACCTAAAGAAAGTCCAGAAGCCTTTGCTTCAGGCACCATTCCTACCTCCAAAAGCCCCTCCGCCAGTCATCAAGGTTCCAGAATGTCCCTCCATGGGGACAAGTGAAGCTGCCTGTTTACTGGACAACCCTCTGTGTGCCGACGTCCTGTTCATCCTTCAGGACCAGGAGCACATCTTTGCACATCGAATTTACCTCGCTACCTCCTCTTCCAAATTTTACGATCTTTTTTTAATGGAATGTGAAGAAACCCCAAATTGGAGCGAAGGAGCTGGTGAGAAAGAGAAGCAGAGCCGGGATTGCCAGGGACAAGCATTGAGCCTTGACCCAGACGAAGAGCGGGAGGAAGGAACCCCGAGGACACCTCAGGCCAATCAGTGGACGTCCTGGAGCCAGAACCTGTCCCAGCAGGAGAGCCTGGGGCTGGAAGGCGAGAGCTCGGTTCTGGAGACGCAGACCTTATCAGGCTGGAGCAAGGGGTTCCTGGGCATGCACAAGGAGATGCAGGTCAATCCCGTTTCAAAGCGGGTGGGCCCCGTCACTGTGGTCAGGATGGACCCCTCTGTCCAGCCTGGCCCCTTCCGGACCCTGCTCCAGTTTCTCTACACGGGACAGCTGAATGAAAAAGAAAAGGACTTGGTAGGCCTGGCTCAGATTGCAGAGATTCTGGAGATGTTTGATTTGAGGATGATGGTGGAAAACATCATGAATAAGGAAGCCTTCATGAACCAGGAGATTACAAAAGCCTTTCACGTCAGGAAGGCCAATCGGATAAAAGAGTGCCTCAGCAAAGGGTCATTCTCAGGTGAGGGGTCCAACGGTAAACTCATCGATCCCTTTGGTTGGGTTTTTTTAAACATAAGCCATACACGAATAGGCAAGACAGTAACAAGCACTAACACGTGTACATGCTTATTTTTTTAATGTATCCTTCTAGTTTGCATGTATCCATCTACGTAATTCTTATCAGACTAATGGGCTAAATACTATTCCATTTTGAAGACGGGGAAACTGACAGACAGGTTTGGTATATTGCCCAAAGTTGTACAGGTAGTAAATGGTAGAGCCAGGATTTGCACACAAGCTACATTCTGAAGTACCCTCATGGTAATTCTCATAGGTAGGTCACATTCATCCCGAGCCTGCGCTGAAGCCAGAACCAAGGCAAGTCAGCTCGATGCTCACACTGCTCCCTCGGGCTCCCTTCCCTGACCACGTCTGCTCCCCACTGACCCTTTGGCCCTGAAATCCTTGAGGTTATTTTGGCAGCCCTCTGCATTCCTATCGGGGGAACCTCATCTCTCCATCTCTCCCCCCCTTTCTTTTCTCACCCTGCTCTTCTAGATTTCTCTTGTCTCTTTTTTATCCTTGATAACTATGCGATATGCTGCCCACAGTGTCCTCACATAATTGCTTGTACATACTTCTTCTAACTTCTGAAATCGCCCTGTGTGTGTGTGTGTGTGTGTGTGTCATTACAAAATTTGACTTCCTGACTTTTATTGATGTGGATACTTCTGTTTTGTCTTTATCTTTCATAATGCCTAGGCTGGTAATACAAATCTAGCACTATACATTCAATAATTGATTACTGAGTCTATTCATTAATTTCAAAGCTTATGAATAATATTTACTTGAAACATTGGCCATCATGAAATAGAAGCAATCTTGAAAGTTAATGAAAAGAAATATTATAAATTAAAACAATGGACGTTAAGTGAAATGGATTGAATTGCCCTCCCCTTAATGAAAAGGCATAATGGCCAAATACAACATGGAGCTTCAACTGGATTGTCTTAAAAAAAAAACTATAAATACAATTTAGAGATAATTGAAAATTTTTGAGTATGAAGTAGATAATGGATAATATTACTAATTTTCTTAGCAGTAATAATGGTATGATTATCTAGAAGAATGTTCTTATTTTTAGAAAACTCTTGATAAAGTAGTTAGAAGTGTCGTGCTATTAAGAATATCTCCACACATATATACATATACATATACATGTGTATGTACATAAACACACGTATTCACTATACACACACACATACACATTCACCTATAGTTAAAGTGAGCCATGGCAAAATGTTAACAGTGTAATAAATGAGTTATCATTGTACTGTTTCTTCCACTGTTCTATATGTTTGAAAATTTTCATAGTAAGGAGGAAAAACTATTCCTCTTCTTTATGTTATCATATAGTTCAGAGAATTTGTGTTGTGATCCTATGTGTAATCTTCTATACTTACTCCTTAACCCTCGGATGACACGGAGGGAGCTGGGTGTTCCACAGGTAGAGGTTGATACAAAATCACTAAGTAGAGATACGGAAGAGAGAGTAAGAGATGTAGGTTGATGACTATGGGTAGATCTCTCAGCAATGCCAGCTCATGGTTCTGTTTCCTCAATCCTTGGGCAGATGTGACATTTAGGTTGGATGATGGAGCCATCAGTGCCCACAAACCATTGCTGATCTGTAGCTGCAAGTGGATGGCTGCTATGTTCGGGGGCTCGTTTGTGGAAAGTGCCAACAGTGAGGTATGTGCCTTCTGAGAAGCCTGAGTGGTATCTTTATGACTGTGTGTGTGTTTGATTAACCAGATAACCTCAACTCTTTAACTGCTTCCATGGGCCAGTTCTGTGGGCAGTGCTTGAGTGTCAGGTCACCCTCTTCTTAATTTTGCTGTAATGAGGAGCCATTGTCAGCTGTTCACTCGTGGTGTGTGAGCACCTGAGTGGTATCTGTGCATCAACCTTTTATGGTCACTGCTATCATTTGTAAAACATGATCAGCTATAATTTTTTTACAAATGTCACCAAGCAAGACACTGTCAAAATCACATCCAATAGGAGCAGAGTCTGTCTCCTGAAGTTCAGGGCAGTGAAAAGTTTCTTCAGTCACCCGCATCTTGGGCTCAGTTGAGCCCCTAACCAGACAGCGGGCCTTCATAAGCCACATCTTCGTGCCTCTTTCTCCTCATCCTCACCATGAGGGGTATGCTGGACGGCCCTCGACATCTCGTTGAGCTACAATGCTGCCCGAAGCTCTGCCCCAACTTACCTTCTCCAAGGCTTTGTTAACTGGGGGGAAACAGTAATAGAGAAAATGGCCACTCCTCTGAACATATGATTCGCAATGCTTAGATGTAGTGGAAGCCACTGAGTCACTTCTCAGTCACTGGCCTTATCTCCAAAAAAAGGATATTCTTAGAGCAGAGCAAACAGTATCTTGAAGACACTCTATGTTCAGTTTTTCACAAACCCTGTTGGAAAAGAAAGAAAAATTCCATTCAAGCACTTCTAACTTTAGTCTAGAAGGGCAAGCATTTTTGTTGAGTTCTGAAAGTATTTTTTAACCATCTTTTTTTAAAGGGGGAGACCCCATCAAGTTTATTGTCCTAAGAGACTTGATTTGCTGATCTCAGCATCTCTCCACACTTTAAAAGAAATAGAGAAAACAAGAGCTAACTTCTCAAAAGGGGCACTCACACCAGAAATCTGAGCACTCCCACCATGACCCGAGAGCCTGCATTTGCATCCCCAAGTAGGGAAGCAGAGTCACCGCATAACAAACAGGGATGGCTGGGGCAGAGGAGGTCACTAGGCCACCTCCCCCTTCCAGAACAAACTGCAGCTGCTCCTAAACCAACCCCCAGCAAAAGGCTGTCTGCTGTGGGGGGAGGAGAAATGTTAGGATTGCTCTGATGACCTCTCTAGCTGTCTACCAGCCTTTATAAGCCCAGAGGTCCACAGCTAAGTAGTGAAGTCTTTCCTGTGCAACCAAAGATGTTTCCGAGCTGTGTCACTGAGACCAAAGCAGCGTGCTTCAGGCCACCCAGTGAAGGGCGCAGGGCTCGAATCTCAGCTCCCTATGTATAAACTACGTGTGGCCCTGGGAAGCTTCCCTCTCTGGAGAGCAGGATAATAGCCACAGTGTGGTGGTAAGGTGCAAAAGTCAACACTTGCAGATGCTCAAGAGCTGCCATTAGTGTTATTTTTGATGTCAGTAGTGTTTATATTCTTTCACTCATACTTCCAAGAAAATTTGGGGAAGCAACTGATTAATAAAACTTCATCCGAATGGCACTTCACCAACTCCAGTAATCTCCAGAGATGAAGAGCCCAAAGGGTTACTTCCCTTATTTGTCCAGCTCACTGAAATGTGTGCTGATGGTGTGACAGAGCGCCTGCTACTAACCCAGCAGAGAACTTGATCAAGGTCAGGAACCTAGCCACAAAGAGACACTGTCAGAGCTGACCTCACAAATGCTAATCCCCTTTATCCCTTCCCAGAATGGACTGTAATCGTCTCCAGATTAAAATGGGCAGGAGAGGTGACCAAAACAAAAACTTGGCAGTGAACATGAATGCACTTGTCTATGCACACAGCCTTTCCCAGAAGGGGCCACCTGTTTAGCACTATCTCCTAGAAAGACTAGGTCATTTGCCGCTTAGAACGATAGCTGAGGTGAGTAGATATGGATGGCTTTTACCCAGCTTAGAAGACAGAGACCATGGACCCAAGCAACAAGAGGTCTGTGCCAAATTCCTTTAGCCAGTGAATCAGGAATGCCATGAGCTGTTGACATGTGTGCCCTTGCCTGCCCCTTCTCTTGATTTCCAGAGTAGACGATAATGGTTACATAGTTTGAACTGTAGTCTCAGTTTGACCTTGGGCAAGTGACTGACCCTCTCCAAACCTGTGTCCACATCTTTAATATGGAGCTAACAAGAGAGCCTTCTTCAGTGGACAGATAAGTCATGAGAGTAAAACATGGAATTTGGTGCTTGGAACATGTGAAAGCTCAAGGAATGTTGGTGATCATTGTCCCAGAGGATCCTTGTTAAATTCTTTGGTTGAAAATCTTTGTCCCCTGAAAGCCCTGAGTTAAAAAGCCCCCAGTTCCACACTTCCTAAACTAGCCCTGGTGGAGGGAGGAACATCAGTTAAATGCTCAGTAAATATTCCACAACTGATAGGCTTGTCTTTGCACTTGGGATCTGTCTTTTCTAGGCCACCTTTTAACTATTTATTGTTCTGTGAAAACTTGACTTCCCGAACCTCAAAATTCAGTCTTTCTTTTTGGCATTAATAGAATTCTGATACATATCCAGAAAGGAATAAAATATACCCATTGATGTGGCTTTAACATTTTTTGTCATTTAATATTTAAGAAGACATTGTATTTTATTTCTATTTTTCTCATTACTTTTAATGTAGCAGTAAGCATAATTCTCTCCCCAGAGGTGCTCAGCAAGTGGTTCATTAAAAATGCATGCCTGAATTGTAGTAAGCAATGCTCTGATTCTGGAAAACTTTCTCATTCTCTATGAGACTGCCTCTAATTATAAGCCTAATAGTCTGAGCTGATCTTTGCAATTAAAATTTTAAACCAACGATACTAGAATAAGAGACATCGTTTCGGATAGAGTTATAGTCTCTTTGCTGACTCATTTCTTTTAAGCTACATCCGGCAGGTAGGATGCAAAATTCTTAACTCCATTTCTTATGTAGCTTTATTTATAAATTTTTAAGTTCTATAAAGTAGTCTCTCCAGTGTTATTTGGTTAATCATAAATATTGAAATCACAGAAATAGGATTAAAAAAAAAACAAACACAAGAAAGGTGTGTGCTCTGAACGTGTTTTCAGTTGGGTTTTCATTTGCTCTTAGGGTCCCTAGCATATTTGCCCCAAAAAAGCCATCACTTCAAAAAATTGTTTGCCTCCTGTTACACAAGAAGGAAAGAGCAAGTCACAGATGACTATAAATGCCAGAACACTCCACAGGCGGCGGGGTGGCTGAGTTGGCATCCGACTTCTGCTCAGGTCATGATTTGAGGCTTATGAGTTTGAGACCCGCATCGGGCTCTGTGCTGACAGCCAGGAGCCAGAAGCCTGCTTCGGATTTTGTGTCTCAGGCTTTCTCTGCCCCTCCCCTGCTCACAATTTTTCTCTCTGTGTGTCTCTCAAAAATAAATAAACATTAAAAACATTTTTTAATCAAATGTCAGAACACTCCAGAGACATTGGAAGTATTGGGCCAGGGCTGCTTACAGGAATCAGTCATCTCTTGTTGCCAGAAACAGTTTCTTTTCTCTTTTCTTTTTGTCATGACTTAAAACACACTCTTGCCAAAAGATGCTAAAGTAATCTGAATATCTTCCCAATCCAGAGTCTCCATGAAGAAGAAAGAGCTGGAGGTTATCACCTCTTCCAAATCTCTCCCATGTAACAGATGAGGAAACTGAGGGCCAGAGAGGGTGAATGATTTGTCGAAGGTCACACTCATTTTAGTGACAAATGTCCTGTCCCAGCCTCTTGCCCTGGCATCCAAGCTGTTATTTTCCAAAACAGCAGACCTCCCCACAGCTGAAAGAGCAGGTGTTCACAGAAAGCTCTGGGACTTTCTATATGTATGAGCACTAACACTTTATAGCACTTAGGACTTCGTAAAATGGACATACCTCCACTACCAAAATGGTCCAAATTTTAAAGTTTCATAACTTAACCTTCAATTATTTATAAAATTGTACTAATTCAAACACGATCTGTGTAAGATAAATGCATGTGTACATAAATGTATATGTATGTAAGCATAATGTGCAAGTACAACTAATGTTAGATTCACTGAAATAGCAATTAATTACAACAGCTTCTTTACTTTAAAATTGCATCAGTAACAGTTTCTACTTGCCAGGTTCTATCTATTGTAGAGGTTGCACTAGAAACTTGAAATGAGGACCCTTGTTTCAAATCCGAGATAGTAATAACCCGTGTAGCTTATTTACCAAATTATGATTGTTTTCATTGACTATGACTGAAAGGGTGTGTGTGTGGAATTTTCTTAATATTTCTGACAAGTTTCGGGGGTCTTCTCTCTAATACATGAAGAGAAAGCTCTGTCGGAAAGGATTGTCCCATCTGACATGGCTGGTGGCCATGCAAGAAGATGACATGGAAGGTTGTGATAGCTTAAATGATTGTGGAACCACAACACCAGAATGCATTAGCCATGAGACCCATGTAGATTGTGGAGAGAGACAGAGACAGAGGAAGAGAGGGGGGGGGGGGAGAGATTAGATGTATAATATAAATGTAATCATGTATAATAGAGATGTAATCATCTTTATGTGGTGTACAGAGATTTATTAAGTACTGGAAAGAAGAAGTTTATAACTGTTCATCCTTTTGAACTTAGAAATGTGATTCTTAAAAACTGTTAGTGAAATACAGTACTTTATTTTACTGTGAGCCAAACAAACCTTTGCTTCCTTGCCATGAAAGGGTTCTTGTACTGCACAGTGGTTCTGAGCACAGACCTTAGAATTATACTCCCTAGGTTCAAATCTCAGACACTGACTAGCTCTGTGACCTTAGATACAGGACTAAACCTCCCTAAACCTCAATTTCCTTATCTATAAAATGGCAAAAACAATAGTCTCTTCTTCCTGGGGAGGATATAAGGATCAGAGTAAATCACAGTAACTTGTGTATAAGAAGCCTTCAATTAAGATTAATTTTTATCATCATCATTCCAGTAGTTAACACCGATGGTACTGTTCTGTACTATGCTGGGGTCCATCTTGTGGACTTACTTGGAGTCTGTATGCTGCCATGCAGTGTGCATCCTCATTGATCCATGCCCTGGCTCTCTAGTGAACTCCAGCATGTATTAATATTAGCAACAACTGCAGGTGCTCAGGAGAGAGGTTAGGTAAATCCTACAAAGGAGAGTTTACGGTGCCCAACCGACTATTCCCCAGATGGCCCAGGTAAGGAGTTCTCTGGATTCTCTGAATCTGCTGATACCGGATGTTCCAGTAATTTTGAATCTATGTGGCCATGTCATAGGAAAAACAATGAAGCGTGTATATTGTGTTAGCCGATATTGATAGAATGTTGGAATCAAGCCAGTCACTGTGGCAACTAGGGTAGTTCCTCATTCTCTGTTTTGACATCTTAGAGAGCTGGGCTCTATCGTGTGTCAGCAACAGTGTGGTTTGCAGCTCCCCCCAACACCTGTCATGTTGCTAGGAGATTTCTTTCCCCACAATAGAGTATTATAGGGTACTTGGCAAAGAGAGCCCATAATGTCATCATACATTTACAGCCCATTTGTCTGATTTATAAGTCCAAATAGCCATTTAAAAATTCCAAATCACGCTTTGTCAGGCAGCCCCACTCTTTTGTCATCTACAAATCAAACTGTTATGTTTAAAGCAGTAAATAGCGAATGACTTCTACACGCAGCCTCAAAGCAAGTGTCCCAGACTTGCCAATATCAAATTGTACAGTTGGGATATTTATAAGCAGTATAGCCTGAAAATGTACCCACCACATTCTTCAGCAGAACTTAGCTTTTCAAATGATGTTTCAGGTATATCTCCCGAACATAAACAAGATGTCAATGCAAGCGGTATTGGATTATCTTTACACCAAGCAGTTGTCGCCTAACTTGGACCTGGACCCACTGGAATTAATTGCCTTGGCAAACAGATTTTGCCTGCCACACTTGGTTGCACTTGCAGGTAAGGCCGATGACTGGGTGCCATGCAGCGTCTGACTGTCATGTTTGTCAAAATTATATTTAAACAAAAATAACATTTCCAAGGAATCAAAATTAACTTTGTATCACCCAATATAGGACTGTCTTGTGCAGGATGATAGGAATTGATCAGACATATCAGACAGCCCAATTCAATTCCACAAATATCTCGCAAGCACCTACCTCATGGTAAGCCCTGTCGGGTGATGCAGTTATCAAGATGAATAATGCATGATCCCTGCTCTTGGGACCCATGCTCTATACATTCTGCCTCATTGTGGACCATGGAATTTGAAATAAAACTATTATATCCATATTATTACCATAATGTGTGCTCAGACACAGTCTTTAAGAAAGAGGCAGTAGGAGGCAGTGGCTAAGAACATAGGCTACAGAGCCAGATTTTTCGGGCTCAGATCCTGACTCCACCATTTCCTGGCTGGATGACTTCACACTTAACCACTCTGTCTCCACATTCTCTCTCTTGGGAATAGGGACCATGTTATTCTACCATAGAGTTGTTATGAAGATTAAGGAGTTAAGATATATATATATAAAGTTCTCAGAACAGTGTCTGGCACCTAGTAAGCATTATGTAAGTGTTTTTTTTTTAAAGCTATTTTAGAAAATGTTCTGACATTGTCAAGAGCATTTTGGGAGAAAGAAAAAAGGGGGACTTGGCTTCACTTCTCAAAATCTATGTATCATTTCTGGATTTGTTTAGTCATTAAGCTGAAACAGGTCTGAATAGGATATGTATATTCATATACCTTTTATTTTTTTTTTTGTAAACCTTCAGCTTCATTCTCCACAGGTGTCAGTTAGCGATCTGGGTGTTTGTCACTAGGTTATCTGATGCCTGTTAACCATGAAAACAGAAATAGTGCCAGTTTCATACATTGACCTGCCTGTCTCCCACATGCAGAAAAGTGCCTGAGCATATTAGCTTCCCAGTAAATACCTGTTGAATCATTAAGTGAATGAAAATGAATGTTGGAACAAACTAAGTCTTATATGCCCTTGACTTTCTGGCAGTTTCTTTAGGGGAAAAAAAATGTATTTCTCTGGACTCCAGGTTTCTACTAGGAGATCAAAATCCTCCTTGCCTTGCTTCTTCCCCCACTGTATAAAAAGACAGAAAGAGATCGTTGAAGCATTGCTATTTGACTTTCTAAAAACTATTTTTAACCAGTACACCCAAAGTCACAGATCTAGAGGAGTGTACTTTCTTCTTAAATGCTAACTCTGTAGAGTGCAGGAAGTGGTTCCTTTTTTCAGAGGTAAAGATTCTGATCCATTTGACTATCCAGTTTTTACAAGTACTTATCCTTTGAGGATGAATTGATTTTTTAAAAAATAGTCAAAACCAATTTGGGCCAAATCTGCTGGAGAAGTTTTGTGATTAATCTTAAATTAATTCCATTTCTGCTTAAATATTAAGTATGATGAGAAAAACATGGGGCTGACTTCTCTGTGAAATGAACTGAACCAAAGAGAGCTTCTTGGGTGAACTACAGACTTCTGTGCATCTTTCTTTTTGTTATTAAATTATTAATATTAATATTATTAATCATTATTATTATGATTAATATAGAGCTTCCTAAGAAAATTCCCTTAATCATTTATAATCTTTGGTTAGTATAGAGTGTTTACAACATTTTTTTAAATGAATATCAAGAAATGTTGCTATTAACTTGAAATTAAAAAGTCTGATGACTTCTTTGGAAAATTTAGTTCCAAATAGTTCTTTGTCAGTCCAGTCAAGGAAGGTTTTGCCAAAGAAATCATTCAAACCTATATCTCATATTGACCAGATAGAGGCATCTTGACTAAGTACATAGAGCCAGAACAGAAGGTAAGCATGATTAAGGCAATCTACTGGATTAGAAGAATAGATGCAGTGGCTAGAGATGAAAAAAAAGCACCTTGACATAAAGGAGCGAGAAATGGAGGGCCTAGATTGTACCCACACAGGTCAATCCCAAATGCAGGTGATGGCCCCAAACAGAGGCAAAAGACATCTCAGTCTCAGAACCACTATTTCAGTTCAGCTTGGAAGCCTTAGACACAGCTCCCAGCCATAAGTGGCTCTCCCAACCAGGTTTTTGTTACCTCTGGGTGAAGGTTTCTACAGTCTTCAGAATCTAAGAGGCTGAACAGTAAAGATGTCACCCATCTTCAGCTGTTGAGACAGACATATGCATTCACATTTTTAATTCCCCATATGGATCCATTTTTCTGTTACTCAGTCCCTCTATTGTGAGTGATTATTGAGAATTGGAGTGCTAGGAGTGGGGAAGCTGTCAACAGGAAGGTAGCAGAGAGTCTAGAGGATTCTATGAAGGCGCACGACTCTCTAGAGCAGCACCATCCAATAGAACTCTTTGCAGGGATGGAAATGTTTCATGTCTGTGTTGCCGAATACACATGTAGCTATTGAGCACCTCAGTGTGACTGAGGGCATGAATTTTTAATTTTAGTTAATTTTAATTTAAGTTGAAATCATCTCATGTGGCCAGTAGTTATCACACTGGACAGTGAATGTCTGAAGGACTCTGGCTATTTCAGGAGTGCAAATGAGCTGAGCGTCCCACAGTTGCTGGTGCAGTGGCCGGGTACCAGAACCTCCCATGCTGACAGGCCACCCTGAGCTGAGTTCGGTTGGCTACCAGAGCTGTCCCATACTTCCTCTCCAGTTAGGTCGTCCCAGACCAGACCCTTTAGGTGAGATGTCCGGCTTATGGAGTATGGTTCACGTTTCTCCCGTTCCCTCTCTTCCCCAGAGCAGTATGCTGTTCAGGAGCTGACCAAGGCCGCAATGAGCGGCGTGGGCATCGACGGGGAAGTGCTCTCTTATTTGGAACTGGCCCAGGTCTGTAACAGTTTGCCTTTCACCTTTTCAGTGTGTTCAACCAGTTCATTTAATGCTGATAAAACATTCCGCTGTTGCATCTGTCTAAATAAAGATGTCACCACTGAGTCACAGAGGGCCCTGTGTACACTGAGAAGATCTGAGAGTTTCACGTTTCATGCACCATTCACCCTGCTGGGCTTCGTTTGAGAAAACAACAAGGACCCTACCCCACGCCAGCCCCATTGTCCCCCGAGGCACCAGCTTCACATGTGGGAGAACAACTTGGGGCATGATAGGGGAAGGTTTTGTCTCTCCTTGTTTGAAACCTTGGACACATATGGCCAAGATCAGACAGTTTCTAGAACTCCCCAAAGGAACTCTAAGAGAAGGGTAAAAAATTCTTCAGTCCTTTCTTCAGACCATTGGCTTTGGTTTTCACTCTCTCTCTCTCTGTTAAGGCAGTGGTTTACTAAGTCTTAGATCATTCTCCATTAAGGGAGAGGAAGTGGTTTCAGGGAGAGGAGGGAGGAGTAGCCAGCCAAGCTGCCATTCCACCTGCGGGCAGAGGAGATGGCTTGGATTCCAAAGGAGAAAAGGCAAAATAGTACTTTCCAGCAACCTGCATGTTGTAACTTAGCACGCAACAAGAATTTGTTATTTTCTCCCCACATATCAGACACTGCCCTAGACAAAACGACGTGTGGATACAAATGGTAGATTCTCTGCCTTTGGGGCAGTCATAGGCAGTGAGAGAAATCGAAGCACAAATTACTAAAACCCAATGGGAAACACAGGCTAGTAGAGGTTAGAATTAAAACCAAGAAGAGACATCTATTGCAGTAAGATTAGCAAGCCCCCATCAAAACCAGGGGTACCTGGGTGGCTCATTTGGTTGGGCATCAACCTCTGCTTGGGTCATGATCTCACGATTCATGGGTTTGAGTCCAGCATCAGGCTCTGTGCTGACCACTTAGAGCCTGCTTCGGATTCTGTGACTCCCCCTCTCTCTGCCTCTCTCCTGCTCACGCTTTGTCTCTCTCTCTCTCTCTCTCAAAAATAAGCAATACATTTTTTTTAAAAAATTGTTTAACTGGTTGTCCACACTTAGAATCTGAGGTCTTTTGAAACAGGCCTGGAGCATAGTTTATGACTTGTGCTCTCTCTAGTAAGTACTCATCCTGGAGAAAAAATGAAATGACCGAGAATTCCATATAGGGCCAGTCCACTTGAAGTAATGATTTGCAGTTGTGTCAATTTGCTCTGTGTCCCTGCCCTGACAAGCCTTGGCAGGAAGAGTTTAAGATGGCGTCTCACATATCTTAGCTCATTTATTAGACCTTAGCCTCGTGGCATGCTGGGCTTATTTCATGATGAGCCTGGGGACAGGTTGAGACCCTAATATGTTGCATTTTCTAGTTTCCATGGTGTAAATCCCCCCGCCTTAACAACATGAAATTGCTGAACTCAGAGTAGGGAAGAAATGTGCACAATTGACTCCCTTGGGCAGGTATGGGCCAACGCCAGGACACCAGTACCCTTACTTTCCAAATGAAACCTGATATCAAGAGAAGTGGGAAGCATCAGCCAAAATTGTCTATAATGTTGGGGTTGCAATTCTCAGAGTTTATTGAGTTATTTTCTGAGTACTTCAGCTTTCCTATGGGCCTTCATTCACAGTAGAGATGTGGGACCCAGAGAAAGCACGCTGTCAGTTTCGGGGCTTCACCCGATCAAAGAACCTCAAGACCAACAAATTTAATGGATGTCTGAGAAAGATGTGGACAGAGTGTGGGGTGTAGGGGAAACCGGCCAAATTTAGGGAGGTATGGGGCAGTGACTGTAGACTTTGAACAACAAGTCTGTTGTGATCACAGCTCCCTCAGCTGCTACCTCCCCAGGCATCTACTCAGAAACGAGATGCTGTGAGTGTCGAGTCTCTGCCACCCTGCCCACACCACCCGCTCTTCTTATGTAACCAAATGACAGGTATAGGACAGTCACACATTCCACAGTCTCCTCTTTCAGATCTTTGGCCCCAGCAAGCCGAGCTCTGACATGCGACACGGAGTCCTCCGTGGCCGAGGCTTCCTTAAACAGAGTCAGTATCCCTGCTCCGCTGCCAGCTGGCACCTTCCTGAGGCCACAGTTCTTTGTCACGAGTGGGCCTGCGGTGGGGGAGGCTGGGAGGTAAGGCACACCCTCAGCTCCTGATCTGACACAGCGATTATTTTCAGTGCACCTATCACAGGGGTAAGGAAGGGGTGTGCCAAACACTATATTTGGCTGGCGTTGGAACCATGGCCAGAGTCAAAACACTGTAGTCAAAACAAGAGGTGTACTGAATTAGTCATGTGGGCCCTTTACCTCCTTCACTCCTCCCATGCCTTCCTATTCTTTGTGGCCCCGTTTTAGAAAGCAAAGTCTGATCCCCCCTTTTGGTCACTTCCCTGTAGTTCCACAATGCCCACCAGTTGGCCGCCTGGTGTTTGCACCACATCTGCACCAACTACAACAGTGTTTGTTCCAAGTTCCGCAAGGAAATCAAATCGAAATCTGCAGGTGAGACTATGGGTCCCCATCTTTCCAGCTGTCATCCCCTCCAACTGAAGCATTTACCCTCTGTGCCCTTGTGGAGAAGGTCCACAAGCAGCAGGCAGCTCATGGAGAATTCCCTATGACCAGTTGGCAGTCACACGCATGTGACATGACACAAGGAATTGTGGGTTGGGAATTCTCCTTGAAGAACTTCATACTTGAGGGATTTGGGTGGAGTGGGGTTTGGGGTTCCCTGCTGCACAGCGTGCTGTAGTCATTGCTCACACTGGTCTGGGGGGCAAGCCTACACTCTGAAGTCAGGAGGTTCTGGGTTCAGTTCCTCTTTGCCCAGCTACTTCAGGCAAGTCATTGTAACTATCAAAACTTGAGTGTCACAATCTGCAAATGGTCCTACACCTAATCCTTACACAGTGGGTTGTTGAGAGAGTATGTAAGATAGTGTATATGAGAAGCATTAGGCACAGAACCTAGAATATAGAAGCATCTGATGAACCAAGGGTATTATCATCTTCATCTTTCCTTCACCAGACAACCAGGAATACTTTGAGCGGCACCGCTGGCCCCCTGTCTGGTACCTGAAGGAAGAAGACCACTACCAGCGCGTGAAAAGGGAACGAGAGAAGGAAGACATTGCACTAAATAAACATCACTCGAGACGAAAGTGGTGCTTCTGGAATTCATCTCCAGCAGTTGCCTGAGGAGGAAGAGAAACAAAAATTAGTAATCTGACACACACTTTTAAAAGCACTACTGTAAAATTAGTCCTATTATTAGAGATAAATTGTAGTTCGGGTTTCAGGCACTGATCTTCCTCCACTTTTGTGCATTTATCTTTGTTGGGATCAAAGCACAAGCCTCCCCTTCAATGAGCCTGGACAAAAAGGGAAGTTGACGCTCACTGCATTCCTTAAACTTCTATGTATATTTTTTGTTAGAAGGCTTAATAAACTTTAGTCCGTTATTCCGTTTCTTTTTATACAAAGGAAAAAAAAATCCAGCTTTCATGTTTCAAATTCCAAATTGGAAAATATTTTTATATGGTCTTGTATTTTGTTGAAATGAAAATACTATGTATTACTTTATTTTACAGGCCACAAATTAACCATGAAGTCACCCTGTGATTCTCTTTGCCCACATGACCACCAAGCATTATTACATAATTAGAGGGTTATCCTTTCATGGTAAAGTAAAGGGTTGGAATGAAATTTCCCCAAGCGCAAGTTAGAGAGTACTTAATCTTTGTTCTGTTGAATAACATTGGTATAATTACCAAGTCAACTCCAAGAATGTGTATTTACAATATTTGCTGTGTAAGTGCTAGTAATTATATGGTTATATGTGCCATGTAAAATATAGTGATATCAAATCTTCTGTTGTTTAAAATGTCCAGATTCAAGAGGATAATCTTTATAATCATTAGAAGGGCTTATTAAATCCCAGCATTATCCAGGGCAAACCCACCAGTGGACCTGAATACAAAAGATACCGTAAGAGCGTTGGTGTTTGGATTGCTGTGTTAGGGTTTGTGTCTCTCAGTATTCCCTGATCTTGCCATGCTTCTGCATGCAGATTCTCTAATGACTTGAATTGAGATGGGCAAGGGAAAGGATCTCCAGACTTTGTCCCATCATCTTACCAACCGAAACAGGCTTCCTCAGGTCTCTCACCTGCAGCCAACTTCACTTTGTAAGACACACATTTTTAATTCTTCCCAGGGAAAATTCATGCCACTGTAGAAGTAGGCTGAGGCAGACCACCCACCACTGCTGAAATTCAGCAAGACCTATGAAAGCGCAAAGCTGGAGGCTGGGTCGTCTGAGGTCCTTGCATTCTCCAACACAGACAGGAATCTTATTCCAAGAGTCTAGGAAATGGTGCTATTGTGAGTTAGTCCTGACCCTTTGTCATTCTGAGTTTTCAGTGTTAAAATGGAAAGCATTGAGCAGGGGAGCTTTAGAGAAGCAGTCAATCATTGCTTCTCTGTACATTAAAATGTTACAGCACTCATACACAGCATTTTAAGGCCACAGCTCCTTACCTGCCATGGGATGTTGTATGGTGGGGGCTGGGGCTTATTTTGTTGGGAGGTCAACTTACTGATGCTAAAGGCTGTTGATTCTTTTTTTTCTAGCTTTCAGGAGTTAGAAGAGAGTTGAGTCCTAACCCCAGTGTTGACAACGATATGCATTTGAAAATCTATCCAGATTACAGATGGACATTTATTTACTGGCAGTGGATATACACCAGATACAAGAGTTTGGAGAGGCCCAGAAATGCATCACCCTCTCATGACAAAGGAGAGGGCACTAGAGTAGAGATGGATGGTTGTAAATGCATTTACTTTAACTTTTGGTCAGTAGGGCTGTAAAGCATTAACAGAAGGAGAAAGGAGACAGAATGAGAGGATAAATGTCAAGACTCAGGAAGAATTGACATATATCCCACCATAAAATGGTAACAGTTGGGTTTTTAGTGAATGGTCAGAGTTGAATTTATATAACCAAAGCTCCCATGTGATTGTAATCTTGCCAAAACATAATGGACATGTAAATGAACCTGGGGAATAAGCAATAATATCCACTAGTGTTTGTCATCAGCTACTGTAACCAAGTGGCTGGTTCATTTGGTTGATGCTGATTATGGCCTTTAACCATGGTGGTTTGTTTCGTGTTTTTTATTTCACAAAAAGTCAATAAAATTGTTTAGCTATAAAATGTCTCCTCTTTGTTTTTAAGGCCTACCAAAATATCATGTATGTAATTTTAATAGCTTTTTAAAAAACAAATGTCAAAACTTTAAAGGTGCTGGGTCATGGGGGCTGGGTGTGCTTCCATAACAAAGCAGGCTAAATGACTGTCATCTTTTTGGTATTGCCAGCAGAGAATCCAGTGCCATAAAATAAATGAGGGATCTGGCTCTTTGTTCTTGGATAACACAGTTATGTCATGACTTAACTGACATGACATAAGCATTGGAAAAAGCAGAAACGGTGTGGGCCACCTGGGTGGCTCAGTCAGTTAAGCATCCAACTCTCGATTTAGGCTCAGGTCATGTTCTCACGTTTTGTGAGATCAAATCCCACATTGGACTCTGTGCTGAAAGCACAGACCCTGCTTGTGAGTCTCTCTCTCCCTCTGTCTGCCCTTTTCCAATTGTGTTCACTCTCTCTCAAAATAAATAAACTTAAAAAAAAAGATATGGGGTCTCAGGGTGCCTGGGAGGCTCAGTCAGTTAAGCATCTGAGTCTTGATTTTGGGTCAGGTCATGATCTCACATTTAGTGAAATCAAGCCCCACATTGGGCTCTGCACTGGCAGCATGGAGCCTGCTTGGGATTCTCGCTCTCCCTCTCTCTCTGCCCCTCCTCCGAGCTGGTGCTCTCTCTGTCTCTCTCAAAATAAATAAATAAAGAGAGAGGAAGGAAGGAAGGATGGGAGGGAGGGAAGAAAAGAGGGAGGGAGGGAGGGAAGAAAGGAGGGAGGGAGAAAGGGGAAATAAATGTCTCTACCCTAATGGATTTATTATAATCTGGGGTTTGGACAATTCTGCCAGCAATTAAGTAAAAGGTTACATTGTGGGCTTATGAAGATCAATATTTTCTTTGAAAACAAATCTACAAAAGACTGTGGGAAAATCTGTAAACAATTTCTAGACTTCTAGCTAGTGTAAAGTCTACACAAACTCAGAGGAAAGAGGGGTCTCCAATAAGAGCTCATAGTGGTACTCTTCTGAGCGGTGTATCTCCTATAACTCCATGGAAAGGAGTTGACAACTATACAAAATAACTTCAGAGAGAAGACAGTGAGACTTCCAACAACTTCCCACATGTATCAAAGGTGGGTACTCCATATCATGGCATCATGTACATAATCTATAACAGTGGAGTCTTACCTATATAAAACACTGATCTATGTTTCTCCCAGAGCAATGCTTGGTAAACCACCAAAGATTTCAACAATCCTACTTTGGCATTATAATAACCACAAATCCTACTAGTTCCAAGGTAACTCAAGTATTTTCTTTACAGACATTTAAAAGCAAGAATGCCATGTTGCTAACAATTTTTTTTCACACTTACTTCCATTGTATTGTACGTCAGTTATCAAAATTCAGTTTTCATCACTGTGACACTTACTTTTACTAGTCAGAGGAAAGAACGAAATGAATCTCGAGTTTCAAAACCATTTTACAAGTATAGCATTTCTTAAATGAATGCTTTTCTGCAAGCTAAAGATTTACCAGGTTATTTCTTTTCTTTTTATTATTTAAATCCAAGTTAGTTAACATATAGTGTAATAATGATTTCAGAAGTAGAATTTAGTGATTTTCATCACTTACATATAACACCCAGTACTCAGCCTAACAAGTGCTCTCCTTAATTCCCATCAACCTGTTTAACCCATCCCCCCACCCACCTACCTTCCAGCAATCCTCAGTTTGTTCTCTGTATTTAAGAGTCTCTTATTGTTTCCTTCCCTCTCTTGTTTTTATCTTATTTTTCCTTCCTTTCCCCTATGTTCATCTGTTGTGTTTCTTAATTTCCATATATGAGTGAAATTATATGATATTTATCTTTCTCTGACTGACTTATTTTGCTTAACATAATACACTCTAATTCCTTCCACACTGTTGCAAATGGCAAGATTTCATTCTTTTTGATCGCTGAGTAAAATTCCATTGTGTGTGTGTGTGTGTGTGTGTGTGTGTGTGTGTGTGTATATATATATGTATATATATATATATATATATATATATATATATATATATCTCACATCTTCTTTATCCATTTATCAGTCAATAGACATTTGGCTTCTTTCCATACTTTGGCTACTGTCGATAGTACTGGTATAAATGGGGTGCATGTGCCCCTTCAAATCAGCATTTTTGTATCCTGTGGATAAATACCTAGCAGTGCAATTGTTGGGTGGTAGAGTAGCTCTATTTTTAACTTTTTAAGAACCTCCATACTGTTCTCCACAGTGGCTGCACCAGTTTGCATTCCCACCAAGAATACAAAAGTGTTCCCTTTCTCCTCCTCTTTGCCAACATCTATTGTTTCCTGAGTTGTTAATTTTAGCCACCAGGATTTTTCTTGTATTGGGCATTTATTTAATCCAATACCCTAATTGGATTCTAGTGGACAAGTAGCAATAACTCCTCTTATCTAGAAGAATGTGACTATTGCATTAAAGATACAGAGTTAAGTGTCACCTGGGTGGCCCAGTCGGTTAAGCATCTGACTCTTGATTTTGCCTCAGATCATGATCTCATAGTTTGTGAGTTTGATCCCCGAGTCAGACTCTATGCTGACAATGCAGAGCTTGTTTGGCATTCTCTCTCTCCCTCTCTGTGGGCCCCTCCCCCATTTGCTCACACACTCTCTTAAAAAAACAAAGAAAAAGATATAGAGTTAAAAGTCAACCAAACAGAACATGTTTCTGTTATATTTTTAGTAATGAAGAAGGACCTCAACAAAGCAAGCAAACAAACAAAATGCTAAAGGCAATTTTAAAAAAGAAAGAAAAGGAAAAATGGAGAACGAGCACTGACCAAAACCACAGAGGTTGTATTAAGCACTCTGAGACAGAGATGTATTCTCTTTCTTTAAAAATGCTAAGTTATGCAGTGACTACATATCTTATGACTTAATTTATTTTCAGATGAAGACTTTGCTGTCTTGAATTTCCAGTTAAAAGACAGGTGATGTGTGCAACATGAAAAGGCACTGGCGTGGCAACACTGTTGACTTGTAAAAGCAAAGCTTCTGAAAAGCTGTTCTGTCCCCTCTGGCTAGATTTGAAAATCCTATCTTGTGCCTTTAAATTATATATTTGTACTTAAACTATATAGATGCATGGTTTTTCACTGGGTTCATGTGCAGGCGCCTCGTAAGTTAGATATTATCAGACTGCAGTCTACAAAATATGGAAATAATTTAGGAGCAGTAACTGTTGGGTGGAAA